AACAATCATAACTCCAAATTCTTTTTTAAATTTTAAAACAGAAAGAACTGAAAAAGATTTTAGAGATCTAATCCATGTCTTTTTATAAATATAACAGAGAAGTTAAATGACTTGAAAAGGTCAATTTTTTAGTGATAAAAATTAAAACCAGGTTACTAAGAACCTAGTTTAATTGGTCTTTTTTCTTACTTCTTCCAAAGTAACTGAAATAACTTTAAAATCAGCAACCCTCTTTGTCAGTGTTTACAAAGATTTTATTATCAACTGGACAGTAGTGGCATCACGCACACCTTTAATCCCAGCACCCAAAAGGCAGAGGCAGGTGAATCTCTGTGAGTTCGAGGCCAGCCTGGTCTACAAGAGCTAGTTCCAGGACAAGCTCCAAAGCTACAGAGAAAACCTGTCTTGACCCCTCTCACCCAAAGATTTCATTATCAAATTAAACCCTATGTCTCAATGCATTCTCTGTACTGCTCTTATAGAAATTTAGGGTGGGAACAGATTATCAAATCCTCAAAAAGTAAAAGTTTTGTGTATGTGAAGGGTATTAGGACTATATTAATAAAATTACACCAGGACTAATTATTGTGAACACTAGCTCTAGCCTTCAAGACCTGCAATTAGAGATGTTCATTTGTGTTTTAAGACAGCTGTGTAGCTCCTTGAACTGATTATGTAGCCAGGTTCGTTTCAAACATTCCATCTTCCCACCTCTGCCTATGGAATGCTGTAATTATAGACAGGAGCCACCAGAACTGGCTTTTGTTCTCCCTCAGAGACCTCACGGTCTCACAGTACCAGTGGTGGGGCCAGAGGGGTCATCCACCTTCTTAAAGGCCTGGGCCCTTACTGCTATCTCTGTTTCCACCAGGAACTCGCTAAATTAGCTGGCTAGGATTACAAGTGCTGGGAGTGACTTTTTGTGTAAGCATGTGGCTGCTGCCGATTTACTGGGTATAATAAGGAACTTCTACCTAGCCCAGTTTCTCTGCTCTTACACATATTTCTTCCTCCTGCCCCTCTGTGGTACATATTTCTTGTCCAAACTAGTTTCAAAATTACAAATTCTTAAACGTTAAAGGTAAAAAATTGATTCCCTGATACTGAAGAGTGAAGGCCCAATGTGACACCTTAAACATTCAAAGAATTCAAAGAATCTGGACCAAAGAGGAAGCAGGAAGGGAACTTTGTACAGCCTAATTCCTTTCTTTTACACAGCCAAGGAAACAGATTCCCCACTGGAATGAAGTGACAGTACAGGAAGTGCCAGCATTCCCTGCTGGGTGTTCTCTGCAGACTTTCATACTTTCCCACTTAGAAAAAGATATGAGCAGCCATTATTTTATATACTACAGCACAATTTCCTATCCACGCACAAAGAATCTATGCTAGTAAGCGACAAGTCTAGATTCCTTCCAGATTTTCTCTAAAGGAAAAAAAACCTTCAAATATTTCAGAGATTATTTGCTGATCCCTTCTTCAGATGAGTGTTTCTTATGTGTTTTGAGCCATAGTGTTTCAGTCTCAGACTATGATGAAACCAGAACCCAAGGAAGAGCAGATAAAAAGGCTTAAGAGATTTCAAGGTCCCCAGAAGCAGATCCTCTGCACTAAAATGTTAAGCTTAATCCATCATTGAACCATGTATGTGTGTGTGTGTATTTATAAAATCTACCAAATGATAATACATTTAGCCAGAATTACAATTAGACATTTGGTGCTTGTCCTAAAACAAAGCTGACAAGAAATGTCCTTTCACAATGAAGTATTTCTCTCAACACATGTGCAGATTAATTTCAGACTCAAAAGGCAACTTTTCCTGGATACTCTCATGGTTGCATTTATTACATAAGGGCAACACATAGTTTTTAAAGTAAAATGTATCAGATTCTTTTCACCGACTTCTCTAATATTATTTCACATACCTTTCTTCTTTTATCTTAGACTACCATATGGTTTTTCATTATTTTACTACTGTACAAATAAATGTATTATATAAAATTTATTTTAGTTAACATTTATTACATTTAAACTGAATATTTTTTTTAAAATAAATTAGTTTAGAACGGTATTGCTCATACTTCTCACATTTTCAGAATTTTATTTTATCATTTTCTGGGATATTGGCAACTGAGCCCAAGGCCTCAAGCATGCTCAAGGTAGAGCTCCACATCCTAAAAAGAGTTTTTTCTACTTGCGTACAGGTGTTTTGCCTCGATGCATATCTATGCATTAAGTGCATGCAATGCCTACAGAGTCAGAAAAGGATCCCTTGGAACTGGAGTTACAGACATTAAGCATACATACAGGAAGCTGCCATGTGGGTGCTGACAATAAAACCTGGACACTCTGGAAGAACAGGAAGAGCTCTTAACTGCTGAGCCATCTCTCCAGCACCTCCACCTAATTCTTTTTTGAGACAGGATTCCACTGTGTCGATATGACTAGCATAGAACTTAGTATGTATGCCAGGCTGTCCTAAAACTCCTGAGTGCAAGGATTAAAGGCATGCACCACCACTCTCAGCAAATTATTAACTCTTTTACATTGACTTTCTTTTACAACATCCTAAAAAACAGTCTACAGGATATTTTACATACTTATTTATTTAGTTTTATGTGTATGAGTGCCAGCCTGTGTGTGTGTGTTGGGGGGTACATCATATTCATTCCTGATGTAGCCAGAAGAGGCTGCTGGATTTTTCAAATTGGAGTTATGAGTAAATCACCCCATGTGGGCACTGGTGGTCCTGAGTTCACTGCAAGAATAGCACATGCGCTTAACCACTGAGCCACCTCTCCAGCCCCACTGTAATTATTTTAAATATTATAATTTCCTTTAAATTCTTCTTAGAAACAAGAGAAAAAATAAATAATTTTACTTGATTCATTAAGTTGATCTGTAACAGGATGGTAGGAGGTAACTGAAAGACAGACTACAAATAAAGAGATAAACATAATATTCACAGAGGTAAATGTGCCTAAGTATATTTATAACTGTGGCAGTGAAAGTGAAGGAACAACACACAGTTGATACTCCTAACCAAAAGAACTGAAAAGAATGGCTGGGCTGGAGAAATGGTTCACTGGGTGTCAGGTGTGCAAGCAGGTTGTGGCTGTGCTATTAACTCCAGAGAGGTGCAGGGCAGACAGGAGGATCACTAGGGCTGGCTGGCTGCAAGGCTAACTCCAGGTTCAGTGGAAGACCCTGGCTCAAAGGAAAAGAATAACAAAATGAGTGGTAAGGCAGAGCACCGACATCCTGACTTCGTGATAAATTTAGATTCTGAAGAATGATAATCCATTCATCAGCAAACACTTCAATTTTTACTAAGGGTAAAGATTTATGTCAAAAATCTGAAATACAAACATATATTATTGATAATAATAAAAGCCTAATTGATAGTAGATATGTATTTTAAGCATCAATAATTAAAACATGAAAAAATATATAAATGAACAGTTTAATGAATAACAGTTAAGAAACAGGAATAATATGTGGAAGGATGTTCCAGTACAGAACTAATATATGTTCATATTTTAAATGAGAAAGTACCACTTTCAAAATGAAATAAAAAGTGAATAGTGCCAGGACACACCGTTGTATATATTAAATAAAAATGACAATAAGGAAACTTAAAAGTAGACCACTCATTTTATATCTTTCCTAAAGAGCTATTAACAGAAAAATTTTAGCCATTGAGAAGAAAATGTTATTAATTGCTTCTTTGTTCATTACAGCACTCAGAGTTCCTATCTGCCTTCTAATGTGAACACACATATATCTGCTTTCCACACAAAAAGCAATACAAAGAAATTCAGACCCTCAATCTATCCTGGATGTAAGTAATCTTCCACTATTTCATCATAGGTGAATTCCTAATCAAAACAGATTATAATTCACCATCAAAAGTTGTTAAGTTTTAGAGTAATGTGAATTAAAAGATGCAGAACACATGATTACACTTTAATATTTAAACTAAGGCATGTGTAGAGAAACTTGACCTTAACTGCCTTAACTGACCAGAAATGAAGAGTTTCACCTCCAACAAGAACCAAGTTTAGGAATTACAATAAGAACTGAAATATATCCCAACACACAGTTAACATGCGACAGAAGCTAAAGGAAGAGATGGGGAAAATGAAAATTAAAATCATGAACTTAAATTTAGGTAAGCAGCAGATCTTTAATTCTCTATAAATTATTTCAATTAATTTAAGAGGGGGAAAAGACCTTTTTAGAAACTACTTTCCCATTGTGCTTATATTAAGTCACTGGCAAATAAGAGTAATACTGCACCAACTTTTCTCACCACTGAGCTACAATCTCCCAGGAAAAATAAACATTCTTAATGTATTCTTTGATGTATTAAAAATAACCCTAGAATATCAGTTTCAAAGAAAAATGTTAGAACATTGTTTTGTCAATAACTAAAAAGGTTCAGGATTAAAGCTATTCACCATCATGCCACTTGAGTTAAATCTTAACAAGTAATTAAACAAAACAAAAACCAGAAGCCAAGAATGCCAGAACTGCTGGTCCCTCAGCCAAATCCTTTTTATATATAAACTCTTAAGGTCTTGCCTTTTTAAAAATGTCCACTCATATCACTAAGATTTCAATTTATAAATATGTACCCATCTGCATTTTATTTAAGAAGGAAACATCCAAAGTAGCCGCCTTAAGCTGACACATATATATATATATATATTTCTCTTTTTTAGTTATCACTAACTAAAACAAAGCAAACCACTTTGGAGAGCTTGCCAGAATCCCCACAAGGCATTTCAGCATAAAAAGAGTTAATGCCTAGCTCAGCTGGACAGCCAGAGACCATTTGCAAGCCTCCTAGGTATATTCCCAGCTCACACATTATCAGATTAAAGGAACTGCAAACAACTGGGTTGAAGGCTTCCTTTGTGGAAACCCAGCCTCTTCTTCCTGTGATGTCATATTACAAATCTAGGAAGCCTTTCTTGCTCGCTTCAGAGACAGCCCATCTCACAATACAGCTGGCAAGCTTGGAAAGGCCTCCTTCAGCAAGAACTAACATGCTCAGGAATTCATCTGGAAATCTTTAAAAGACTCTGCCTATCGCCACCTGGAACCAATACCAAAGTACCAAAACGGAGACTAAGAAGAAGGAAGTGGTGCCAGAGGACGAAGGACTGGGACTATTAAGACTCCGAAGTAAGACTGATAACTGTTGCATAAACATTCTGAAGATGAAGACATTTTAACCTTGACGACTGAAGTACAAGTTTACACCAGGACTGGTTGGGGCCGACGTGAAACACAGCTTTTCCTAACGTTTGTGGCTCTATGGGTTGGCTTCCTTGAGTGCCTTTTCCGTCAGTTAACTAAATTCTGGACTCATGGATTTTCTGGAGACCAGAAAATGAGACTATTGTCCTGAAGAATCTACCAGATTTTAAGCAACACATTTCATGTTTCCTCTGAAGACTTCAGAGAAGAAAATATTTATAAGAAGACAAAAAGAAGCAAATAATTTGCAAACCAACTGGCTGTTGCTGCGCCCACGTCTGAATCGCAAAGCCGACTGCTGCAGACAAAGGACTGGCTGTGAGCTGCACTGCCTGACAATGGTAAGCTCCAACGGCTCCCACTGCCCTTACGATGACTCCTTTAAGTACTCTTTGTATGGGTGCATGTTCAGCATGGTGTTTGTGCTTGGCCTGATATCCAATTGTGTTGCGATATACATTTTCATCTGTGCCCTCAAAGTGAGAAATGAAACTACAACGTACATGATTAATCTGGCAATGTCAGATTTGCTTTTCGTCTTTACTTTACCATTTCGGATCTTTTACTTTGCAACTCGGAATTGGCCATTTGGAGATCTTCTCTGTAAGGTTTCAGTAATGCTGTTTTACACCAACATGTATGGAAGCATTCTGTTCTTAACCTGTATCAGTGTAGATCGATTTCTGGCAATCGTCTACCCATTTAAGTCGAAGACTTTAAGAACTAAGCGAAATGCAAAGATTGTTTGCATCGCTGTGTGGTTCACAGTGATGGGAGGAAGTGCACCAGCAGTTTTCTTTCAGTCCACCCACTCTCAGGGTAACAATACCTCAGAAGCCTGCTTTGAGAACTTTCCAGCAGCCACATGGAAAACGTATCTCTCCAGGATTGTGATTTTCATTGAAATAGTGGGGTTTTTTATCCCCTTAATTTTGAACGTAACTTGTTCTAGTATGGTGCTGAGAACTTTAAATAAACCTGTTACATTAAGTAGAAGCAAAATGAACAAAACTAAAGTTTTAAAAATGATTTTTGTACACTTGGTTATATTCTGTTTCTGCTTTGTGCCCTATAACATCAATCTTATTTTCTACTCTCTCATGAGAACGCAGACGTTCGTTAACTGCTCTGTGGCAGCAGCAGTGAGGACAATGTACCCCATCACTCTCTGCATTGCTGTTTCCAACTGCTGCTTTGACCCCATTGTTTACTACTTCACTTCAGACACAATCCAGAATTCAATAAAAATGAAAAACTGGTCTGTTAGAAGAAGTGACTCCAGGTTCTCTGAAGTTCAGGGCACCGAGAATTTTATCCAACACAACCTACAAACTCTAAAAAGTAAGATATTTGATAGTGAATCTGCAATATAAGCTGCCTGCCTAAACCACTGGGACTGCTCCGTGTTCAACTGTGAAAACTGTACTCGTGGAAACTATTTCTTCAGCTCCAAAAGAAAAGTAACATATGGACGGTTACATGTTTTTAAAGAAAGTTTGTGTCTGATGTGTTAAACATTAAAATATATTCTATTCTTGTACGCACTCCATGTTCTTGAACCACTTTAATGTGTTTTTTCCTCATTAAAAAAAAATCTCTAAAGTTAGAGTCTAAAAGCAATTATGATTTAAAAATAATGTGATAGCTGAACTTTTAAATGTGTACTCCACAAAATGATTTAATTCAAAACTCGTTAATTTATATGGAACCCATTAGATGTTGTTTAAGTAATAGTTTGCTAAATATATTTCACTTCTATTTCATTTTAGATTAAAAGTACTTATCATGCCTTAAGCTGCAAACAACAAAGAAAGCTAAGTTGAAATAGTCAAACCTGTTTAAGAGTATTTCCCCCGGAGAGTTACTGTAGTCCTCTGCATGACATTTTTATCTTTGTAGGCAATTCATAAAACATAGTGTCTAACTATATAGTGTATCTTGAAATTACTATTTTGATTTATATTCTCGCTGCAACAACCAATTTCAAAATGATATATACTATTAAAATTTAAATTAAGGAAACTAATAAAATGTGACCTTGCTAGGTAAATATTTTAAGAAGTAAAATGTTGCCAGATACATAATTTGAAAGTACAACAAAAAACTTGTTCTCTCAGTAATGTTGGTCCAGGAATCACCAAGACAGTGAAGTGCAGACTTTTTAGAAAATAATAAATAACCAAAATATTTCAAATATTAAGTGAATGAAAATGTTATTTCAAGTGGAAAAAATGTTAACATGAAAAGTATTAAGTAAGGATATGGCTCCTTACATAGAAGGCAATAAACCTAGACCTAACTAAACACAGCTATATTTCTGTTTTTACAGAACATGAAAAGGCATGGCTTTCAGTTAGATTTAGAGAAAAGTACCAGCTACATAAAAACTTTCAGTTCTCAACATACCCTCTCCCAATTCAGCATTTCCAAAGTTAACTGAGAAAGTCTTCATTTTAGAAAAATGATATGTAAATGAATTCTGCATTCAGCCTATATGGTAAAAAATGCCTTAATTTTTGAAGTTTGAGTATGGTATGGACAGCTTTTTTGTGATATGTAAATTTACTTTTTTCTAAGTTTAAGCTGTAATGATTTCAGTCAGACAAAGTGTAATCATTTTCTATCTTAGGCAAGTCCGTGTAATAAATAAATAAATAGTACGTAGAAGTTTTCTTTAGAAACTCAGGGTTTTCAACAGGTGAGATTAAGGGAAAATAAACCCTTAACAAGAAACAAACTGGTGAAGAAATTAAGCATATCCTAAGAGAAGTATGTGTGTGTTACATATATGCATATGTACAAATATGCTGTGAACTGGTTTACTTCTGTTGCCATGAGGTTCCTGTAGTCCGTATCACCCTAAAGGAAATAAATCCATTAGCAGTCTTAAACATACATTGTTGTGTTGAAAGGCAGCTAGCAGCCTACGGGTCAAGAGGAAAGGATCCTGAAGTTCTGGATTTTTCAGAACTTTCCTGGCTCAGGGAAAATGAGTAAGGGAGATCTCAAAGTATGAGTCTTACTTTGAAATACTAGAAAGATCAAATAACTGTTAGTAGTAAGATCAGTAGTAAGTTTTTATTTTCTTGTGCGAACAGCATACATGAATCAAAAGTTTTGTAAGATTGTTTTTGTTTTTCAAGACAGGGTTCTCAAATTCTATTTTATTTAACTATTTACCTATTTGCTTATGTAGTACCTACACTGAGTATTTATTCATGTGATTCTAATAAATACCCTAATAAATACACACACACACACACACACACACACACACAAAGTTTGCCTTGTCCCCTCCCAGTGGTGGCACACTTAACTGTCTAAAGTCTCAAAAAAACAAAGTCAGATTTTCTTTGGTCAATATGATACTAACATAAGAATTTAATTTTTAAAAATATTTTTCTTTTCTTTAAGATTTATTACATATACAGTGTTCTATCTCCATGCCAGAAGAGGGCGCCAAATCTCATTATAGGTGATTATAAGCTACCATGTGGTTGCTGGGACTTGAACTCAGGACCTTTGGAAGAGGCAGTCAGTGGTCTTATTAGCCATCTTTCCAGCCCAAGAATTCAATTCTAGCAGTTACAACCTTAACTCTTACTATTTGATTCACCAGTTTTACACTGTACTTGTTCAATCTTTACCATCTAGGTAAGGTCAAACACTGCTTAAAACAAACAAATAAGCAAACATTTTAAGGGCTGCATGTTGGTTAATTGGGTTAAAAAGTCTGCCATGCTTTTACACCTAAGCTGGGTCCCTGGAACCCTCCTAAAGGCAGACAGCGAGACTGTTCCTGTGCAATGTGCACATCCCTCACGTTTACTGCCTTGTTTTCACATGGATCATTTATTTCCTAGACTTACTACATCCTTCCATTTTCCTTTTTTCTCTTTTTCCTAGACTATGACAGTTTCACTTTTCTTAAGGTCCAGAATAACCTCTTCTTCGGGTCTCTTTCTCATTTTTCTAAAGTATATTCTCTAGTAACTTCTGAAAACTGTCCTCGTGTATGATATAGAATACTAGAATATCAAATATCTAGTATTCTTGATGAAAATTGCAGTGATGATCTGCATTTTATTTTCTACAAATAATTAATTTTTAACTTTCTCATTAACTTAATTCTGATTTTTATTTTTATTTGTTGGAGGAGGTCACTTGTTCATCCAGGCCGTCCAGAAGCAAAATAACCACTATTTACAATAGTGGTTAACCACTAATATAGAAACTATATTAATTAAATCACTGGCCCATTAGCTCTAGCTTCTTATTGGCTAACTTTTACATATTAATTTAACCCATTTCTATTAATCTGTATATCACCACGATGCCATGGCCTACCAGTAAAGTTTCAGCACATCTATCTCCACCGGCAGCTCCATGGCGTCTCTCTCTCTCTCTCTGCCTTCCTTCTCCCAGCATTCAGTCCAGTTTTCCCTGCCTACCTAAGTTCTGCCCTATCAACAGGCCAAGACAGTTTCTTTATTCGTTAACCAATAAAAGCAACACATAGACAGAAGGACCTCCCACACCATTTCCCCTTTCATGTTTAAACAAAAAGGAAGGCTTTAACTTTAACATAGTAAAATTACATATACCAAAACAGCTACCAAGCAAGAATTACAGTTACAATATTTATATCTATCTTTTATCGTAACTAAGGAAAACTATAACTATAAATTCTTCAACTCCATCAAAGACTCCTGAAGGATATAATGTTACCTAAGTAAACAGGAAGCACATTGTAAGCAACTTCCAAAACTCTAGAATTGAGAGAGACATCTAGCTGCCTGGACAGTCAAGTTTTTCTGTTCATTGGGGCATCCATCTTCAGCCTACTGGTCCATGGTATCCAGTAGACTTTTGCATGAAACAGGAAATTTCAAAGACAGTTCCACCTATATTGGCAGTCTGTCGGTCATTTTCCTCTGTGTCCTGATTTGTTTTTTGAGTGAGGGGTTTTCTGGGTAGCTCTGGCTGTCCTGGAACTCACTTTGTAGATTAGGCTGGCCTCGAACTCACAAAGATCCACCTGCCTCTGCCTCTCAAGTGCTCAAATCAAAGGCATGCACCACCACCACCTGGTTTTAACTGATTTTTGACCAAATGTATACTCCTCATCATGCTTATAGCACACCAAGTGGGACTTTTCTGTCTAAAGTTTCCATATTCTCATTAGCTTTGCAAAATTTTATTCCATTATTTTTATTATATTCTTCCCTTGATTTTTTCCCCTGACATTTACTGAAGAGAAGAAAAAGAAAAAAATGGACCAAGAATGCCTTGGTATCAAGATAAGAAGCAATGTAACCTAATCCAGGAGTACACGTGTTTCTTGTATTTCTCTCCAGGAAAAAATTATCTCTACATCCCTAGTTCACTGAAATCTGTTACAGAAGTAACAGATCAGTTACTCAAAGTAACTGATCCTGCTCTGATTCTCTCTTTGACATCAATAGGAAACTGCAGGTCTGGCTGTTTATGTGTATACAAAATCTGAATGTGGGCTGGCTAGGCATATAACGATGGTCCCTGATTTATAATGGCTTGGCTTACTGTTTTCTTTATAATAGCATGAATGAAGTATGCATTATATAGAAACCTTACTTCAAACTGAATTTTTATCTTTTCTCAGGTCAGGGACATAACCCACGATATCTCTCCAATACTAGGTGACATCAGAGTCACAAGCGTCCCAGTAGCCACTTAATGACAGGCCAAACAAGTTACTTTTCGGGTTAAAGGTACCAAACTCATAACTTGCAATGGGTTTATGAGGACATTTCCCACAGTTAGAACAATTTATATTTGTGTGGATTATGCACTGCACAATAGAACTAGGCTTCAGCCCAAATTCTGCACACTTCTGATTTACCAGCACAGGGGCAAGTGCACTTTAAACCTCCTGAGGGACTGGCATGACTCCCTGGGGCAAGGGGCCAAGGACTTCATTGTTCTCAGACCACTAACAGCAATATCTAGAAACATGGTAAAATTAAAAATTCTTGAACTTCAACCGGAAAACTTAGGGGTTCTGCCCAACAATCATAGTCTGTGTTTTGACAAGACCCCCAGATAATCTGATAAATGCCGGCTTGTACTCCAGAAATTTCTTCCAGTTATTGACAACTCTTGTATTTCTTAGAAGCTAAAGCTCCCACAGTGCTGAAAGCATTCTGCTGTGTGTGTTCTTAGTATCGTGGTCTATTAGACGCTGTTACAGCCATCAAAATACCCTCATTTCATTTTTATCCTGGAAAATGAAGTAATCCCTCTACTTCCATTGTTCCTTTCCACGTGATGGTCTGAAATCCCACAGTTTGTCCTGTATAATGTGTGCTTGTGTGAGAATTTGTTTCTTTTTTGCTCTTCTAAAAGGTCTGAGGACAGAGGAAGTAGAAGTATGTGGTCAGAAGTCTGTTAGTTTGAACTAGAAAAATTATTTTAAGAAACAAGTAAAGAAAAGAAGGTTAGCTGGATAAGAACAAAAAGAAGGAGGAAAGGGAAGGGAAAGGAGAGAAAAGAAGGAACAGTCTGAGTTACACATGGAAAGTCATGCTATTAAAAGCCTTTGGTAAAACCAAAGGATTCTTTCATAACTCTTTTCATTATAAACAATATAATCTTCAAAATAATCTTTTAAAGAAAGGATACTTTTACAACTAATTTTACATCAGTATTAGCTCATAGTTTAAAACATAAAGATCAATGTCTCAAAACTATAATGTGTAGTATTTTAAAATTTAGAAACTTTTATGTAATATGAACAATAAAATATTCACCCTGAACAAAATTGTAGGCT